CTGCCGCTCCGAGACAGGCCCCGAGCAGCCTTGTCAGCAGACCTGTGGTAAAGGGCAGGTCACTGACTGCTCTGATGTGGCTCCACAGCTGCCAATGTTCCGGGGAAGCCAAGACGACAACGATGATGACTTTGCACTTGCGGACAACCCGATCACGCCTGCCTCGGCCGTCTTCCCTCTGGCGAAAACCCCGCAGTGCGAGCACATCAGCCCTGGCATGCTGGTGCCCATCAACAGGTAGGAACTCGTACCGCCGCCCCTCTGCCAACCTCCTCCTTCCTTGTTTTCCCCAAGATTGTTTTTGTCCGCTGAGGAAGATCGCGGGTGGAACTGGGACACCAGTTCACTGCCAGGCTTAGAGCGAGCACAGCTGATCCTGCGGCCCTCGAGGGGTTTGGTCGGAGAAAGCCTTTCCTGTGTCGGTGCGTGCAGTCTGAGGAGCCTGGGCAACGGAAACGCCGCCAGTCACACGTCCTGCTGCTTGGGGAAGGCAGTGACGGGGGCTGCAGCCTCAGCAGAGGTTCCACGGCTCACTTTGAGGCTTACGCCTGTTAACCCCGTTGCTTCAGGCTTTACTGAAACAACTGTGAATTGCCCTAAAATGCCAGTTACCCTGCGAGTTTCATCCCTCTGACAAGCGAGCGCCGGCGGGGAGGGCGCTGAAGCTTCGCCTGCTGTTTGCGTTCCGAGCTCTAGCGCGTGATCTGATCAGACCCTGCCGCGCTGCCCTGCTCCCCGCGCTGCTGTTGCAGTTCGTGGCTTCTCACGGCCGTGCCGCCGCTCGCTCCGAGCCAGGGCTGTCTGTGCAGGGCCGGGTCCTGACCTGCTCCCTTCCCCCCGCAGGAACGACTACGACCGGCACGTGTTCCGCATGCAGAAGAACACGCAGGGCAGCCGGGGCACCTGGGACAAGGTCACGAAGAAGTCGGTAATGCTGCTTTCCTTGAACGTTGCCTGGTTCCCCCTGTAAGGACGCAGAGCTTTGCGAAGCAGCAGGCAAGCGAACCCGGGATCCAGACTAGCGTGTACCTTCAGGAAGGAGAACGGGAACCCTCCCCTGCTTCCCCCCAGGCTGCTGGGTTTTGTCAGCTGCTCCTGGAGAAAAGTTCTCTTTGTTAGGAAAGAGCTATTCGGTGTCAGGATGAAAGATGTTGCTTTTTTCCAGGATTTGTAACTGCTCTTGAATTCTGTGAGTGTCAGGTACATGAAGTTGCTGTTACTCTTCTGTGCAGCGGGAAAGCGAAGAGCAGTTCTCGCCTCGTGTCAGACCGTCCCTGCGCTGACGCGTTTGTTGCTGCAGTGCCCCAGCTGTGCTGTCCCGCTGCCCGTCCCAGGAG